ATAGATTTATATTAATTAGAATCAGAATCAGCTTTATTGACCGTATACTTAAACACACACAAGGAATGTCTTCGGTAACTGTGCTCTCAATGTACAAAAGAATAACATTAAATATAAACATTTAAGCAAAAAAAAACTAATATAGACAAAGCTAAATAAAATACCAGTGCAGTTGTGAGTAGTGCAAAATATGAATATATTGATATGAAATATATGCTATTATGTAACATATGATTATTTTACTTGAGCTAAAGTTCTTACAGTATGTACATAAGCAGTATTCATGGAAATAGCTTCATGATGTCAGATTCCTACTCACTAAAAGGAAGTTTTCCCCAACAATGAACATTAAAATTTGTGATTATAGTATTTTTTTTAAATTTTCCACTTGTCTTAAATAAGTTTGATTGGCAGCTTCTCGTTGTCTATTTCTCACTTGAAGGAGTGGAAATGAAGGGAGCAGACAGTTTCCCGCTCCGAACGTAAACACAGTTAACCCTTTAACGATTTAGTTAGAACTGGTACTTGTGTTGTAGTAAAGACCACAGTAACCAAGACCAAGACATACCCGAGACCAGAGTGCTCAGAGACCAAGACAAGACCAAGACCAAGACAGGATGAGACGAAGACAAGACCAAGACCATAAATATCAATGAAAAAATCATCATCTTGTGTGCGGCGCCGGGTGTGTCACTCATTTAGACCACAACACTGGGAAGGTTGAAGCCGGCATTCTTCCTTCTCGTCACAGTGCTGACGTGGAAATGTAGCCGATCAGTGGTGGTCTTGATTTAAAATCCAGAGTCCACCCAGTCTGAGACCGAGACAAGACCGGGTAAAAATACTTTCGGTTCCGAGACAAGGCCGAGACCTTCTACTACAATACTAAGTGGTACTGTGGATTGTATGAGAACTAGAATAGAGAGAACTCATTTTGTACATCAGTTTACCAACAATAAAGAGAATACCGTTATTATCACATTACAGTATACTTACCATGATTTCTGGCCGAGCACGTTCCCAAGAGGGTCAGCAAAATAAATAACAAAACGTACTTCATTGTTCTGGATGAGACAGAAAAGAGAGAACAATTTTCAGTAAAGTGTCTTGAGATAAGATTTGTAATGAGTTGGCACTTTAGAAAAAAAGGATGTCCTGTTGCTTCAGGGCTCTTCATCCAAATTAAGGGCGTTTTCACATTAGGCTCGATTGCCCCCTTCCCCGCTCGTCTACGTTAAACACTTGCTTATTCACACTGTCCGATATAGCAGGTGGCAGTATGCACACAGGTGGTTTGCAAATCCACCAAAAAGCTGAAGAAGCAACCATGGCAACCAATCATGGACTGAGTCCATCCTGCTAGCTGTGGATGTTTTTGTTATTTCTGGGACCCCAACAACCATCTTCTTATTACTTCCACATCTATTGTGCAGCTCAGAGGATGAATCAGGTCTGCGCTACTCGGATACAGCGGTTTTTGGAGCAACACAAGACTTTTTGAATGACGTCACAGTGGTCCACTTCCTTGTTTGATTACAGTTTCATTCAAATCTACCGCGGACCGTGATCGAGTACACATGAATCATGGCCGAGGCCACCTCTTCCAGGGGACTCGGGCACAGTACCCGAGTATGGTAAAAGTATGGTACGTTTGTGTTCACACTGATTAAATGACCGGACTTTGGGGTAGAGCACACTCAGATCTTGGCCAGGGTATCTGTTGCACCAGGCACTGGGTCACTGACCCTTTTTAAACGTTGTGCCTGCCTCACTCCAGGTTTGTGCCGACACTTTGCTGTAAACACATTTTAAATGCCCAATTCTTACTATTTTGTCCCACATACTCTTCCTTCTTCCAGTCTACCAACAGAGAAATACAAAACATTTTCAGAAAGTATTTATTAGTGCCTTTGTCATACCTAAGAAATTACAGTTTCAAGCTCAGGTTTTAAAATATAATGAAGAATTTGCTAAGTCAGTAACTCTTGAAGGTACATTTTCAGTATTTATATGCATCGTACTAGTTGCAGGAATGAATACTTAAAAGAGAAAAATGAAATATTTACCCTGATTTCTGGTATTTCCCTGGAGTCCAACAATGCAACTCTTCCCCAGGCAGAGATGTGTGTGTGTGTTTGTGTGTGTGTGCAGACTAGTCTTACACGTATCCATAATATAAATACCCTGAAAGCCAATCACATCACATCATAAAGTCTACTCCCATGAAGACAAATCACACTCCTCTCCCAGTCATCTGGACTCAAGAGATCATCTAAGGGCACGCAAACGATAGCAGTCATGTGATTCCTACTTATAAATAAATACACAACTGCATTGATCCAACTGTTGTGACAGTCTCTGCCTTCCCTCTAACAGTCAGGCTTTTACTAATACGTTCTGTCTCTCCTGTTCCTAAAGCAGAATCTGTAAGTCAGATGCAGAGTAAATAACAGTGAACCAGGACTTTGGCTTAACACACAAACATTAGCCGTTATATTTAAGAGCTTTTCAGATAGTATGCGGTGTGTACTGCGCTTGCGGGTAGGGCGCAGAGCAGAGGGGGAGTGAGCAAATCAGCTACGCAAGTCGCTTGTGACCGAAACAATAGTAGGAACAATAGCTCAATAGCATTGTGCCCCAGCACAATGTATGTGTCCACTATTCAGTAGAAAGTTCCGACCTTTCATCTGCTGGGAAGGAGGAGACGAACAGAAAAGAAGAAGAGGGTGTGGCTTCATGAAAGCCTCAGGGCGCGACAGGATGTGGGAGCGTTTAGGCTCGTTCAGGTGCTGCAGCTCTATAATGACCGCTTCACGAACACGCCACACATTTCTGCACAAACTAGAGCTCTCTGTCTGATGTCCTCGTAGGTCTGTAAACTAGAGCTCAGGAAAGTGGGACAACGTTTGTTGTGATCTGATCTTCCCTGCTATTGGACGCTTGGAGGTGACGTCGCGGAGCGCTGCGCCAAAGTTGAAAATATTGAACTTCCTCGCAGCGCGCTCAGACGGCAAGCACAAACTGTGGGGCGCAGTACCCTCAGGCGTAAAAACGATATTAACAAACTGAGAAAAAGACAATGGTACAATGTGATGATTTATCTTCCCGAGTCGAGGAACTACCCATCCCACAATCCATTGCGATTGATACCGCTTCTTAGTTGTTGTTATAGTGTTTAAACTGTTAATGCAAGTGTTGTACTATCTTGCAGTTTGTGTTGTTGAATATATGAATTACATTCACTGCAGCATAACAAGGTTATTCGTACATTCGTAACCTGAGTAACATCACCCATCACTTCCTGCAGGGGGCTCCAGAGGCTCATCAGAGGCCGCCGCCATGCTGGAAATGTCAGCCTAACGACAGGTTGAGACCTGGAGCTGAGGAGGGTTTTAAGCATTATGACAAACAGTTGCATCCCGCGCACCTGTCAATCACGTCAGCTATGCGCCTTATTGGGAAAACTCTTATCCCTCATAAAATCAAAACGGATGACTCAAAAAATTCAGTAAAACTGTGTAAACAGCAATGGTTGCATCACATGGATTGTGTGTGTGTTTCCCGACAAACCGATAACACTCGATTTCATCTCAGACTTTAACCCATGAAGGTTGCCAATAAAAACATTGGCAGTAAAACAGTGTAAACAACATTGGTTGCACATTTTTCAACCCCTGTCCCCCCCCTCTGTATACGCCCCTGGAGTTACGACATTGAACATTAACTCTGGGACTACTGCAGTGGGAATTATTGAACACTTCGGTTCACTTTCGTACGTTGTTTGTACGGACTGAGTTAACCTTGGAGCGTTGCCTGATGTCCTTCCAGCTTCCCATAGACTGTAAACATTAATTGTTCAATCAGTAAGCTCTGTAATGAGTGAAATGATAAAGTGAGCTTACTATATGATCAGACATTAAGGAAACATGCTCTGTTGAAGCGCTGGCTTCTCTGACAACAGTGCAGCAGCCAGTATGTCCTCCTTCTAACTTTAGATTCTGCCTCCTGAATGCTCTGGATTTGTTTGGACCAGAGAAGGTAGGCGGTTTTAAGGCACACGGCCATTTTGGACGCCCCTCGGTTTGTCAGATATGAGAGCAGTTATCAGGTCAAACCAACAGGTGTTGCAGCGATGGAAGAACTGTTTCAGATAGAAGTGATTGTACCCGACCTAAAAAGCCTCTGCATGTTTCTAATAAGCTCCACGAGAAGAAACGTGCTCAAACTAGGATCAATATTGGAGATGCTTTGTGGAAATTGGAGAGAAGTTAGAACGCAGAAAGGTTTACAGAGCGAGTTACATGTTGCTCCTTTAATGAAAAAAGCCTGAGTGACGTCGACCGTCTGTTCCTGCAGGGGGCGCTGGAGTCCCATCGATGGCGGTCTCCATGCTGGAAATGCTGTCTCAGCCTAACTTTCAGTCAACCTAACGACAGGCTGAGAGCTGGAGCTGAGGCGGGTTTTAAGCCTCCTGACAAACCGTTACACTGCGCCCGCCTGTCAATCAGGTCAGCTGGTGCAACTGGTTTAAAAAACATCCAGAGCTCTGTCCGGGTTTAAAAGAAGTCCAGGTCGTCTGGAGCGTCCAGGTCTCTGTACTTAATGATGGAGCGGGGGTCCCCTCGCACGCCCCTGCCCACGCCTTATTGTGAATAACTCTTATCCTTCATCAAATCAAAACGAATGAGTCATCATAAAATTCAGTGTGTGCCGATCAAGACATGAGCCAATCAGACCTATTTGGTTTTTTGAACCAGGCTGTAAACATGTTTATCTCTGCTGTAAAAACAGGCTTTTTTGAATGGGTGTGTATGTGACTTCCTGTGCTTCTGCAGCCAGCCTCTATTGGACACTCGAGGAACTGCAGGATTTTGCACTATAGCATAGTACACTACAGTAAAGAAAAACATTTTGAATCAATCCCCTTCTAAAAGCAGCGCTCAATGGTTCAAGCATTTATCAGGATAAGTCACAACAGAAGAATGAGATTCAGACTCTGGCTCGTTCTGTTGTTTTTTATTTGTATTCATTAGTTTCTATTTACAAACTGTTTAATGTGAAATTAAAAACTCAGCCAAGTCAAATATGTTACAAACAAATCCAAAAGAAGAAACTAGTGCAAACAATATAATATGTATATACAGTCAGAACATGGTTGTTGCAGATTTGGCTTGAAATAGTGAAAAAAAGGATGCACGATATTAAAGCAAGGAGTTTACTAAAGCATGGACAAAGATATGAGTTAAAGCTTCTGTATGGAGTCTCGAGCTGGTCATGAAACAGTCTGAAATGAGTTCTGGTGTGTCTATATAACATTTTAAAGCACAAGAGACCTTCATCCTAAAGATTGACCATTTCTATAAAGTTTCAAAGTAAAATGTCATTGATAAAAACGTTCAACCTCCTCTGAGATCTAATCCAGTCTGGATCCATAGACCTCAAACTCACACACAGCCAGGTACTCCACCCTTCCAGGAATGACCACGTTGACGTAGCGGCCGTCCATCCCGTTACAGTTGAAGTTTTCAGTGAAACCTCCAGCAATGCTGGTAATCACAGCACACCTAGCAGAAGAAGAAAGTGCCTCATTAGCTCAATACTTCAAGTGTTAGCTTCAGAGTAGAGAATAAAATTAGAATAAATCATCCATCTATCCATTATCTTCCGGTTATCCGAGGTCGGGTCGCGGTCGCAGCAAGTGAATTAAGTCAACCCAGACTTCCCTCTCCCCAGCAACATTTTCCAGCTCCCCATAGAGGATCACGAGTCATTCCCAGGCCAGACAGGATATTTAATCCCTCCAGGGTCTACCCCGGGGTCTCCTCCCATTTGGCGTGCAAGAAAAACCTTTAAAGGTAGGCGTCCAGGAGGATCCTAATTAGATTCCCGAACCACCTCAACTGGCTCTCTTCGATTAGAAGGAGTAGTGGCTCTACTGCGAGCTCAATTGGAATAAAATAGGAATCTCAAAAAGGTCTCTTTCATCTATTTGCCCTTTTATACCTGACGTTAAGTGCGGCTTTGTTGGAAACCTTTATGCCTTTATTCTGGAACTCAAGATTCTATCATCAAATGCAAAAAAACCTTAATTTTCTGATACCTGACATGAAAACTGAGGGCTGTAGTTCGTTTGCTCTGGTCTGAATCATTGACCAGTTTGTTCCATTGTTGCATAATTACCTCAAATTTGGTCTGTGTTCACACAGGGACATTTACAAGTGGATCAAATGTGGTTGTGAATAAATTATTTTGCTCATGAGATAGTTTCAGGTGCACAGCAGAAACTTGTTTTTAAATTATATCTTCTAGCCCCATGTTGCCTTTGGGCCTCCATACTATCTGGTTTTACATTTAAAAAAAATTGTAGGTGCTTTCAGGAGAAGTTTGTTGTTCCAACCAAGCCCAATGACAGATAAATTGACTTTCACTGTTTGTACTATTTGGATAAACTACCTGGGGTTGTTGTTGCCGTCATTGTCAAGGGAATCTCCGATGCGGATCTCAGCTCCGTTAATTAGTTCAGGATGAGTATTGTAGTTGGTGATGTTAACAGAAAACACTCTGTGTGTTTTGCCCAGATCCAGTCGCCACCAGGGGTTCATAGTTTTGGTGGTGTGACTACAAGATCCCTCGGCCCAGTTGCTGGCACGATTCCCGTCTATGGCAAGATTTGCAAAACCTGTTGCATGCAGTGTCGACTGTGTAGCTTGTCCCTGGAGTGCCAGATTCTCTCCTGCAGAAAAGAAACAGTTGTAAATGTCAGCGCTGAGTGTTTAACTTGATGCTATGTGCAGTCAAAGTTTTCTTGAACCGGAAACTTGTAACTATGTGCACTTTGCCGACCTCTACATTGGTGAAAGAAAACTTCTGAGGTTATAGAAAATCATGTTACTCATTTTGAAAGGCATTCAAATCTTAAAGGATGCAGAATAAATGTGTTGCTTTATAGAACATTTTCCAGCAATAAAAAGTCACAAGCCTGATCTTTGCATCAAGATCAAATCAAGAAAAGCTTATTTTATTTTCCTTAATGGTCTTTAATATTTTTTATTAATATTAAATATATATATATATATATATATATATTTGTCAAACAATGTTGGTAATAAAGTATTTTTCAAAATTAAAAATATAATGATTTGTTTGTTATTGTAATACTCATTTCAGCCACAAGAGGCTAAAGTGCACTACCACCTCCATGTTTTTAACGGGAGACATCTTCAAGTAAAAGAAAGTGTATGCAGTTTGCACGTTTTCACATTTAAATGAATGCATTTTAAACTGTGGTGTGACTGAAGCTGTATGGAAAATGAGACCGCTGCCGCTTTTACTCCACAGGTCACACCTACACATTCACACACTGATGGTAGAGGCGGCTGTGTAAAGAGTCCCTCAGTATTAACTTATCCATTCGTACACATTCACACACGGCCAACGAAGCAGCAGGAGCATCTTGGGGTGAAGTGTCTTGGCCCAGGACACATCGAACATGTTGCCGCAGGAGCTGGGGATCGAACCCCCGACCTTCTGGTTGAGACAACTTACTCTACTGCTGGGCCACAGACGCCTCAAGTCAGACCTTCGTTAGCTACATCTTTAATGGCTCAGGATAAAATATGCAGGTGCTCAAATTCTCACCAGTTGGTGCATGGTACCCATACACTTCCACTTCGCAGAGTGAAAGGATCTTTTCTGGACCAGTCAGAGTCACAGTCACGTAACGTCCCACCACAAGTTTGGTGAAGGTGACTTTTAAAGACCTGCCTGCTGGGACATGAGAGATGACTCCAACCCTACGGGAGATCAAGAGAGAAGGAGCATTGCATGACTTTGTTGTTTTCTAAAACCAATAATAATAATAATTTGGAAGTATGACGTAAAGCAATCTAAGTGATGGATGGACCACACTAATACTTGACCAATCAGAATCACAGTGTCAACAAAAGAGTGGAGAAGAACAAACTGGAGAACAGAAAACAAAATGCAGCAGTTTAATACGTTCAAAACATGCAGCTCCTCCTGCAAATATCAGGAGTTTTTCAGGAGTTTTCTGCAGGTGTGAAAGCCCTATGATTGACTTTGCCACAGCGTCAATTGCATCTTTCGCTCAAGTTGAAGTTTTTTCTATCAAGAACAGATTGTAAACTGCACGTGCATGCAGATTATTTGTTTAAAGTGTAATACATAATCAGATTGCGGCTGATGGGAGCCAGCTTTTGCTGTCCACAAAGACTGTTTTTCCTGCATACACCAAAGCTTGCTGATACATAATTGGTCAATACTTCTCTGACAACAAATGTCAGCACTTGACAGTTCCTCTGGAATTTTGGTGGTGACAGCCTGCTGCTATGGACCCCCTGCCCCCTGCTGCTATGGATCCCCTGCCCCCCTTTCCTTGCCAGAAGCCAATGAGGTCTTGACCTGGCAGCAGAAGCCAGGCTCTTCAAGAGCAGCAGGCTGTCACCACCAAAAATCCAGATCTCCCCCAACCTTCAGTGAGGTGATCTGGCACTACTACCACCCGACGTCCCTGACGCCCAGCCACCACCAACCACCGCTGTCCTCATTCATGCACGGCCTGCTCCGACCTCCACCTCAGCGGAGAGGAAGTGTGGACAACAGGAACAAGAGGAATACAAAGGAGAAACCCTTCCTGCATATTATCCCTTTGTAAAGCGTCTCCAGATAACACTTGTTATGAATTGGCGCTTTATACAAATAATGATTGATGTACTAACAGAAGCCAGAACACTTCCCACACTAAAATTCGGACCCCGACTACAGACTTTACTTTTAATAGAGAATCTGCTGATAGAGATTAACAGATGAGTAGCATTATTCACTCACAGTGGATTTCCAACTCCATTGTCTTCTAAAGAGTGACCGATGTGAATCTCAGCCCCGTTGAGCCTTTCTGCACAGCAGTCTCCTCTGTTGGTGATGACGAGGGAGGTGACGATGTACGACTCCAGTAGGTCTACCCTCCACCATGGGTTGGCCTCTACTAAAGTGTGAGTGCACGATCCAGAGCCGGAGTTAGTATCACGGTTTCCATCGATGGCATTGTCCGCAGATGACCAAGGGTGCAGGTGGCGTGTTGACTGGGTCGCTTTTCCCCGCAAGGCCACGTTTTCTGTGATAAAAACATTTTAAATACACATTAAAACCTGATAAAAAAAAGAGTTTTCAAGTTACTAAACCTGCAATCAACCTGCAATCATGCCACTTAGGGTCATTTCAGGAAGACTGCCCCTGAAATCTTCCTCAGTTAGTTGTTCACACATCCACCTCACAGCGGGCGATCCCTGTCTAATTTGAAAGGGCTGGTCTCAGGAGGCAGGACATGATGTGATAGGAACGACACAGAAATAAAGGATGATGCAACAGAGTCCGACACTTTGGTGTCTTTAAGAGTTAAGTCAATAAAAGATGTTCAGGATATCAACAAAGGAGCAGAGAAGAACATACTGCTGAACAGAAAACATAATGAAGCAGTTTAAAGACATGCACAGATAAATGTCATCACCCCTCCCACTCGAATATTCCTGAATGTTTCCTGCTGCGTTCACACATCGGCTCGACCCGACTGTGGCCGTTTGTGTTCTTACATGTGTAAATGAAAACCTTATCCTCAGGTCTCAAAAGAGCAGGCTACGCAGGAATGCCTGATACCTGCATTATCTCTAATGGCCACCAGGGGGAGACTCGATGCGACTGGTTGGAATAAAGTCCCACTGTTTGTAAATCTGTGAGAAAATAACTGAGTGTGAACTAACAGTTATTTTTAATATAATGGGGGATGAAATTATTTATATAAAAGATATATGACAATAATTCTTACCGTAGGCGTAGGTCGAGCATGACCCCAGAAGAAGGTGCAGAAGCAGAACGGAGCTGCGTTTCATTGTTCTGTTTGAGACAGACAAGAGAGCCGATGACAGAATTACACTGAGAAAATGAGCATTATTACTGTTGTAAATGTCTCTTAAAACCAAAACAAACTTAGATGTAGAGGTTGGATGTCGAAAGTGCATACAATTCCATAAATGTTACACGGGCTGTCAACATTAAAGGTCAAATATCCTCCTCCTCTTTAACCAGTTAAAATAAGTCTCAGAGCGGGCTATTTCAATAACCGTTTAACGTGCCCATTTATTGAATCATAAATCTTATATTGTGAGATGTATCGAATCACCACCCCTGTAAAACTAAATGTTGGTTAATTTTCCATTTTTAAAGGTTTTTAATCATAAGGTACAACGACCTACCTTTAGTTGCAGAGTAAAGCCTCAGAAGACGACGAGGAGCTGCTGTAGCTGTTGTTGTATCGATGATTATGAGTTAATGTTGGCCACGTTAGAATATTTATACCCACGTCTTATCATGACACACGTGCTGTTGTTTACTGATAATTTACCACGGTTGACTTTATGCTTCCTTGTGTGCAGATAACGATCATTTTGACTATCATTCCAGTCAGGGATTGGCAACTTTTTAATGACGTTTTTCTTTTTCAGTTTCTCTGAACCTGTAGATTCAGAATCTTACTGACACATCCACTTTAACATCCGTTAGTGTGCTCATTACAACGTACACCCATAAAAACATACAAGACAACACGTGTGAGATAAAAGGAAAAGGTCACACAGAATGGAAGCATATAGATCAAGTATGGAGTCCATTTAATATATTTGAAACAGAATGCAGACAGCAGTGGTTGTCCCAGAAAAAGGCAGCGCCACAGGGGTCTAAAGTGCACTACCCCACCTCTCCAAAAAAACATTTTTCTAAAGGCCATAATGACTATAATGTTATATTAAAATGTTAATGTTGAAAAATTTGGGATGCACCTGTTTCAGCCGCATTTATGCCCATTGAAAATGAACGCATTTTAGTACAATGCAAATACATTAAAGAACCATATATGTGTACTACTGAGCATTAACATGTGTTTCATGGAGCGGAAGATATGATGACTAGTTGCCTGTAAGTATTGCAACGGTGCAAAAAGTCAAACTTCAGAGGCATGTTATCAATAGCCTTCATTGGAATGGAAATGTACATCCAAGCTTAGCTGCAGGAATCTGTGAGGGCAACGGATGTAAGATAACAAAACTGGACAAGAAAATTGGTGTACCCAGGGCAGGCTTAGTAACAATTACCCTTGTATGGTTGTCTCTGCCATGGACATCTTCGTACTAGGCTACATACGTCTGCCATTTCCTTGCTGGAGTGTGATGTGATTTGTGTCATGTGCAGGTGCGATGGATTGCGTACAAACCAATAGGGTGTCAGAATGGTATATGTTTATACTTCTCATCCATGTATTTTTTTGAACGATGACAAGGCTGAAAACAAGCCGAAATGAAATAGGAGTAACGGGCCTATTTTTACAATGTAAGGAGTAGAAAGTACAGATAATTGCGTGAAAATGTAAGGAGTAGAAGTAAAAAGTCGGCAGAAAAATAATTACTCCAGTAAAGTATAAATACCCAAAATTTCTACTTAAGTAAGGTAACAAAGTATTTGTACTTTGTACACCTCTGGTTTTAGCACATTTGATGTAAATGCAAATGTTTTCAGCTTTTAGCAGCATGTTTGTTTCACTTACAGCAAGTTTCAGCCGCTACATTTGTTTTGTCATTTTACAAACAATTTGAAATTGAAACGTTTTTGGGTGAATGAACATATTACAAACACTCAGGTATGCACTGATAAACATTGACTATATACATCATTGATTGTGAATTATATAGTATGAAACACAAACATACTATAAAAACATAATTCTGTTTTTGTCTTAATGCTGTTATTGAACTGTTGTTGTTTATAAAACCACAGCCTGGCATCACAGATCTCCCTGTTGGGGATTGATTTTTTTTATGACTTTGATTAGATTTGATGTCAGATTAAATATGGATGATATTCTGATGTTTAAGTTGACCTGAAACTCTGCCATTCTTGAAGATACGAAGTTACAAATGCATCTGAAAACCATTTGTGTCAAAGAACTCACATCCCCTCTCTTAAGAATAGATGGTCCCGGTTTCTCCTCTCCTCCTTTTTTCTGGTGTCCGCTTCAAGGATGAGGAGACGATGTAAACCTGCTCCACCTTCTGGACGAGGACGTACGGATGAATAACCTGAAATCATCTGACAAGCAGGATCTCAGTTTTAATTCAGAAGCCTCTCACATATAGTACACACAAACAGGAAGAGTGACTCATCCTTTGGTCTTCTTCTAACGTTTAAAATCAGAGGAATATAACTGTCTTTATAAGTGACATTTGGTTGATTTACATTGCAGCAACGAACTCGCACTTCAATGATGTTTTCCACTTTTATTGTCTCAACATCACATCTAAAAAACAATGTGTCACGTGTAGTCCTGGAAAAACACAGTTGTACTTCCTGGTCATATACAAACGAAGATAAAACAGTTTAATTAGAGAGATTTCATATTGCTGACAGACTTTCAGACGCTTCATAAGATGTTTGATTAGATACTGTTCGGACTTTAGACTGCAAGCAAAGAGAAACCACATGATGACAATGGGAGTATTAGTCCATAATAACATTTTAAATAGTCGGAAAAAATCTGCTTTATTGGTGCACGTTAATTCAATTCTTGTCAAAAAACGTTATTTGGGGGGCAATATAAAGGCATATAGAGCAGCAGCATGAGAGACAACAATAAGGTGCAGCAACAACAGTGCAAGGTAGACAAAAATATTGAATAAAATCCAACCTCCCATTATCTATATTGCTTTCTTGAAGAGTCTAGTTTGAAATTGAGGGCCCTGTTGTGAAGGTTGGATCAGACGCCTTTCTTTGGCAGAGTGTAGTGGGAGTGACCTATTTTATTGGTGGTTGACAAACAACGAATTTGTGCATAAATGGTAAATGAACTTGAGCTTGTATAGCACTTTTCTAGTGTTCTGACTACTCAAAGCACTTTTACACTGCAGGGCACACCAACACATTCACACACTGATGGCAGAGGCTTCTGTGTGACCATCAGTAGTAACTAATCCCATTCATACACAGCAGACGAAGCAGCCGGAGCAATTCGGGGTTAAGTGTCTTGACCAAGGACACACCGGACATGTTGCTGCAGGAGCTGGGGATCGAACCCCCAACCTTCCAGTTGTGAGATGACAGCCACACCATAATCACAACCAATTGGTATGGAGTGCAGATCAGGATATAATATGTCAATGTCTCAAATAAATTACAATAATAATAATTATTTAAAAAAAAAAATATCCTCACCCTCAGATTAGTCGCTCTGAGAAAATGAAAAATAACTTTTTGATATAACCAAAGCCCTTAGCAACAGTTGATCATCACTTCCTGTTTACATTTTACATAGATTAAAATGTACAAAAAAGAAACCTTTTAAAACTGATTTAAAAATGACTCAAGACTAAATAAAAAATAAAAAGAAAGGGGTTAAATAAAGGAGTCTTCAAAGGCTACAAAATAAATCATTCGATCCTTCCATTTGCCACGCACCTTAACTGCCTCTGCTCTATCTGGTCTCATGCACTACATCACTTTATTCTATCTTTTACAGTTCTGGGTACTTTATCCCTGTTGTATCTTATCCATCACTGCACTACGGTCACTTTATTTATCTCATTTTTAACTTTACAGTTATATTGTTTATATTAGTTCTGTTTTTTCATTATTCACCATGCACCTTAATAACTTATCATTTAGTATTTGCCTACTTGCACATAGCTCTGTATATATATATATTTATTTCTCGTTTACTGCACATAGTTCTGTTTACATCTGTTAGTCCGATCACTGTCCACTTATATCTACTCCTTTATATTTTGTATTTTTAAGTTAAGTTTAAGCTTTAAGTCAAGTCAAGTCAACTTTATTTATATAGCACATTTATAACAGCCGAAGCAGACCAAAGTGCTGTGCAGTAAATCAGGCAAAATACATTGCATCCAAAACATCATAAAAACACGTAAAAGCAAAAATTAAAAGTGAATTAAAACACAAAACAATAGTAAAAGTTCTAATAGACACTTCTGCTGGGATAAAACACTCAACTAAGTGCTTAAGTTGTATTTAAATTGACACTTTAAAATAAAGTTTTTTTGAATCGAATTGAATTGATTTTGCCTACATTACCCATAAGCATTCTCAACGAGAAACTCGCGAGACTTCAAAAGCCACGAACACGTTTGCGGCTGCGCAATATCATTCGAAAACTTGCATGGTGAGCGACGCCGCGGAGGAGAAAGACGACGCAGAGAGAAACAGAAACACACAATGGCGACGGCGGCGACAACGGCTGGCGGGACGGGATCAGGCGGACCGGCTACCGGCCCGACCGGCGGCGGCGGCACCGCAGTCGGACGCAAGAAAGACGGCGGTCCTTCTACGAAATTCTGGGAGAGTTCAGAGACGGTGTCCCAGTTTGAGACGGTGCGGCAGTGGATCGGAAAGCACTACAAAAAGGTAAGCTAGCTGGTTTCTATAACGGCCCGCGCCCCCCCCCCCCCCCTCTGGCACAATGGGGGCGCTGCTATGCTAAGTAGCTAACTGATGCCAAACAAAATAACTCCACCTCTTATTTAAGGTGTTTACACGGGCCGATGGCGAACGACTGCGCGTTGTAAATGACTCTCACGCAGAAGGTGATGTGTTAAACATGCTAATAAACACACTCGTGGTTTGAGTGAAGCTGCTAATCGTGAAGCTAGCTCACTGTTAGCTCTGCCGTCTGAACACCCAGACTCCTTTTTTAATAATAACACACCGGGGACGTGAAATGTTTACAAACGAAAGTGGTGTGTGCGCAGTGTCGCTGCTGCAGTAATTCAACTCGAATCAAAAACTTTTTTAATTGATAAAAAGTGAAGTGTAGCGACCTTATCAGCACATAGTCACAGCACAGTTTAGTCACGGGTTACAATGCATGGACTAACTAGAGGAGAGTGGTGGTTTTTTATTTGTATTATTCCTGCATCTCAGGAGGAGGAAACTGCATTCAGATAATTGTGTGAGTTTAGTGGTGAAGTGTGAGCGGCGTTGAGTTTTGTCAACACAGCATCAACGTGTGCAGGCTCCACTAACTTATCTAAACAAAGAGGGAGCCTCCTGTCTCTGCATGCTCTCCACTCCCACCCACTGACACGCATTAGCCTGTTAGGATGCACACATTACAGAACAATTAAAAGGAATAAACCTTGATTGTGACAGTTGAATGCTTGTTTTTTTTAAGACTCAAGGACTGAACGTGTTCACCTCTCCTTCTGCTCAAATGCTGCCCCGGATGTTGAGCTTGACTTTGTTTACATTCATTAATACATGTTGCTTTCCACCTTGACTGGTATTACCTAGTGGTGTAGTGGTGCCTACAGAAGTGACCTACTCCCTCCACAGGCTTTTTTTTTTTTAATTGTACCGTCCAGAGGGTCATTCCTTCACCATGCTAGGCTAAATAATTGCAGCATATGTTACTATATATTGTCAATCAATTAATGGTGTGAATCAGAGGGGATTTAGAAGTAGGTATACCCCATGGAGACTGAAAAATTAAGTAGCTAGCTATACTCTATAAACCTGTGTATAACCTGCACTACAACACAGGTGTAACCATTGCAAGGTAATTAACAAATAGTTAATAGTGCATCAAAATGATGTAAATGCTTGGCCAGTATACTCAAATATTCATCCAATATTCATGTGTGCACGCCAAGTGAGGAAGCATTGCTTGTTAACAAAAAATGTATTTATCGCCATGAAATCAGACTTCTGTGCAAGTTATTGTGAATACTCCTAACGTCATAACGATGACATTGAGGTTAATAGCCCAGCTCTTTGGGGCTCATTTAAAAAAAAAAAAAAAAAAAGCTTTTGAAAATCGTGACTTGACGTGAACTTGTAAACAAATTTTCCTACATCTGAAGATCACGATTGTGAGATCAGGAGATCCTCTCAGATCCACAGCGCTATGTTACAGTAAGCTTTGTTTCACCTGCATCAAGGAAAGCAGCTTCTTTTTATATAATATTATCATTTGGCCCTTTTGCTTGTGTCTCCTTGACTTTGTCCTTGTTATAAATAGAGCAGGCCTTGCTGAGCCTTTTTCCCCATGTTGAGTTTTACTTGTCCTATTTATTTTCATACTCTCACTTTGAATCATCGTTGCTCCTTAAAAGCTCTGATCCAGAGCAGAAGTGGACATTCATTTGTTGCAAGGAAGTCATTCATGTGCAGATTTCCTCCGTTGGAAGAATAACTCTTCTAAGTGCAGATATCTCTGGTGCTGAGATGTCATATGGGAAGACTCTTCAGGCCCCTGTCCTGTCAAGATGTGATGCCTCGTCTAAACGTGCTACTATAGAGCAAAAAGCAATAGCAGAGGACATAACATATTTATTGTGAAATAATGCCACCAGAACATAAGCATTGTCAGAGTCTCTCGTGATGTAAAACAACACATATAATGCTATAATGACAATATTTCCCTTTATATCCCTGCTATGTGTAGTTCAACAGAATCCCAATCTGAAATAAAGAGTGGAGAAGAATATACTGGAGAACAGGAAACATAATGCAGCAGGTTCATTAGAGCACGGAGATCGGAGCGGTCTCATGAATATACTCAGCTCCGTGCAGCAGTCACAGCTCGCTCGGACTTGCTGCGGAAAAAACACTAGAGGTCTGGCAGGAGAAACTCAGGGTGAAGTTCAAGTGAAAAATGTGGCTGTTTGCGTTCACACATGCAGCTCCTCCTGCAAATATCACAAGTTGTATGCAAGTGTAAATGCCCTATTAGAAAGTTTGCCATGTGGAATAAATTCACATTATTTAAAGTATTTAATTTAAGGACTCATTTTAGGCCTTTTGAAAGTTGTTCATTTTTATTGTTATATCCATGCCCCCCCCCCGCTTTCTCCTCCCAACATTTCCTGTCTCTCTTCAGTTGTTCTAGCTAATAAAAACTAAAAGGCCCAAAAATCAAGTTTTATTAGCTGTTCCCTGGCCAATGATTTGCTCTTATTCCAAAGAAGACAGTTTTCTGACTGTTAATTCAGACTGTTTGATGCACAGAGCCGATTGTAAAGAGAGAAGCAGCAGTGAGTTATTCGGACAGTTAAAGGGTCTCTTTGGAGAGGAAATTAATCAACCAACAAAGCTGCGTTTGTGACACGTTAAGAAGCTTCAGATTTGTGTGTGTGTGTGTCTGTTAATGAATGTTGTTTATTTCTGTCTGATCCCAGTATGTCCAGAACGACTCCCCCTCCTGTAAATCCTTGGCGGGTCTGGTGGTTCAGCTGCTGCAGTTCCAGGAGGATGCATTCGGACGCAGGGTTAACAATCCTGCTCTCACCAAGCTACCTGTAAGCAAACCATTACATGGCACATTTTTTTAGGCCTTTGAGCCGTCTTGGTTGAAGAAGTTTTCCTGCCAGCGTCTCTTCATGCTTCCTTTTCTATCCTCAGACCAAATGTTTCCTGGATTTCAAGGCAGCTGGGTCCCTCTGTCACATCCTGGGCTCGGTCTACAAGTTCAAGAGCGAGCAAGGGTGGTGAGTGGGCTTGCCCCCCTATTTTTTTTTCTTTTTTTTTCTCATAAACATGAGAATACATTTCCTCAAAAACACTTAAAAAGGTTTTGTAGTTAAATCTTTGAATTATATTTTTTGTCCTGTTTTTGATTCTAATGGAAGTTTTCTACTGTTCAGACTCTGCCTTCACCTCATAAATTAAACTCTGTAGCAGTAGTTAGTATGTTTTGATTGCGTCAGACTTTTGCAACCACAACTCAACAAATGACTCTCTAATTTTTTTATTTTCTCCCAGGCGTAGATTTGACCTGCAGAACCCTTCCCGCATGGACAGAAATGTGGAAATGTTCCTGAATGTGGAGAAGAACTTGGTCCAGGTACAACCGACAACTTTTTAATACACAATTACTAGTTTGTAAACAACTTTAAATCCTGAATGAGGAGCTTTTCTTGATACAATTAAGGGGAATACAATCGATCGCTTTTACTTAAACAGTCCTTAACTTGCAGAAAGGTCTTAATAACAGGTTCTAAACTCATCATAACATTTTAACATCCCTCACACCCTGCCGCCTGGTTATCAAGAAGAAAATTGTACCTGGAGTTAAAAGAATCTGACATTAATCTGCTGTTCCTGATCATGGAGTCATGGCACTGATCTTTGTTGTGACATCTATGTAGTTTAAAGGAGCAATCAGTGAGATGTGTAGAGACGAAATGATAAAGTGACCAGTTATCAGGTCAAACCAACAGGTGTTGCAGCGATGGAAGCGGGCAAGAGAACTGGTTCAGATAGAAGTGATTGTACCCGACCTAAAAAGCCTCTGCATGTTTCTAATAAGCTCCACGAGCAGAAACGTGCTCAAACTAGGATCAATGTTGGAGATACTTTTGAAAAATGGAGAGAGGTTAGAACGCAGAAAGGTTTACAGACTGATGCAGAGCTGGCTAAACACTGAAGCTTCAGTGTCCACCACATGGCAACCTGCGTGAGCATTGACTCTAGAGAGGAGGGGGGGGGGAGACAGCTCTCTACAATGTTTTGAATTTGGACTGGAGCACCCATTTTAAACACTAGGTATCAGAGTTACATATTGCTCCTTTAACTAAACTAACACAAATGTCCGATTCTATAGTCGGTATCTGTCATTTTTCAGACCAAATTGTTCTTCCCTGTTGGGATCAATAACAGCTTTGCTCACTAATTGATGGATTGATGAGCATCGATTGTCTCCAGATTTTTTTTTCTTTTGTTGTTTTTTTGTAATTTTAATTTTCTTTTCTCCCCAGAACAACTGCTTGACTCGGCCCACAGTGTTCCTATCGCCTGACATCGAGCAGAAACAAGCCAGTAAGCTCAAAGACATCATCAAAAGGCACCAGGTGAGCTTCCCCATCCGGCATCAAACCGGCCACTGAGAGAAAAAAACCATGTTGTGTCTTAATCTTGTTGTTGGTTATCACTCATTTCTTCCTCTTTGTGCTCTTCAGGGCTCCATCACTGACGATAAGTCTAAAGCCACCCACCACATCTACCCCTCTCCATCCCAACAAGAAGAAGGTAGAGTGTCACCGACTTTATCCTGCAGACAAGCCGACAGGGAACTGGCGTTTTCTGTCACACTGAATATTTTTCATGTTTAAATTATATAATTCTGAAATGTTTTTTTTTAAATTTGTCTTGTAGTTTATTTGCGCAGGAATTGAATTAATTTGTCTGCGCTGCTGGTTTGTGTTTGTTGCAGACGAGTGGCTTCGTCCGGTCATGAGGAAAGACAAGCAGGTGTTGGTGCACTGGGGTCTCTCTCCAGACAGGTGAGCAGAGAGGAAACACACCAACAGAGTCCTTTAACACTCACCGTGTATGAGGGAAACCTCTGTGCTTCAGCCGCTCCACAAATGGTGAAGGACCTTAGACGTTGAAAATATCAATCGTCGACTCCTTCTCTCAGGCAGATTCCAAAGAAAGTACTGGAGAACAAAATCAATTTATGCAGATGTATTTAGTAGGGCTGGGCACGTTAACGCGTTATTTTTGCGTTAACTCATTAATTAATTATTGCTGACAATTATTTTCTCTCGCATTAACGCAGTTTTTATTATTTATTTATTTATTTATTTATTGTAAGAGTCTGTTGCTCACTGGCTTTTATTTTGTTAAATTCCATCGTGAGCGAGCCTAGTATGTCGCTTACTGCTGCGCATGTCTGCTGCGGCGCTCACAGGAAAGAGGAAACAGTGCTGCCAACTTGGCGACTTTCTCGCTAAATCTGGCGACTTTCCAAACCTCCTTGGCGACTTTTTTTGTCAACAGCTACTAGCGACAAATCTAGCAAGTTTTTCTGGTGTTGTTGGAGACTTTTTTGGTGTAAGAAACTGACGTGAAAGCACGTATTGCTCTGCAGTTACTGTCCTCAACGAGCAGCGGGTGCTGCAGTGAGCCCCTCCCCCTTCCAAAAGCACTCACAGGCTGTCAGTGTAGCCTCGCGCAGCAGACCCAGCTGCAGTCAGAGAGCAGAGAGGAGACCCACACCACTCTGCGTCCAGACTGCAACGAATACAATAAGCTTTAGTTTTGTATTTATTAGCTTTGATTACATTGTTTAAGTTGAGAAGTACATTTACAATAAAAGTGCGCTATACACTACTTTTTTATTCATTATTGGATTTTGCGCATAACAATGCAATTAATCGCAGTTAATCACAGGAACTCATGCGATTAACATGATTAAAAGTTTTAATTGTTGCCCAGCCCTAGTATTTAGGAACATGGAGGAGGTTAGTCCTGATCAGTGGGAGTGCAGGTCAACAACGATTTGGGAGGGGGGGGATAATCGTGCTTCAGCATGGTACTGGGAGAACGTGTCATGGTGTGAGTGCGCCCTGAATCTTTTCATAAGTTGAAGTGAAATCTCTCTGTGTTGTTTGTTTTGGTTCAGATGTTAGCATGAAAGATGGCACATCGATTCACCAGTGTCCTTCCCTCTGACTCTCAGCTGTATTTCCTTTTTTATCCCTTTAGCTATGATACCTGGGTGTCAGCGAGCGAGGTGGACGGGGATGTGGAGGACCCGCCCACCAATGACAGACCGTGGAAGGTGAGCAACGAGGATTATCAGCAGAGAAGAAAAAATGCTCAGTGTCTGTCTGACTTTTAACCCAACCTGTACTATGATCATGAAAGAAGATAAAAGGATGCTGCTTTCACTCCCAGCAGCACTCAACAGAGAAGGAGATGTTGTGATAGAAGAGTACAGTTTTTCCCCCTACCATTACCGGTGAAGTTAATAAAGAAATAAAGATTTTTTAAATGATTTTTTGGGGGCTTTTTGTGCCTTTTATTGTAGATAGTGGATAGAGTCGGAAATCAGGGAAAGAAGTCATTTAAGGATACCTTTCCGATGGGTCAAAACGTAAAATATTTGACTGCTGTTTCTAAAGTCTGCCTCCGTCTTTGTCCCTCTACTCCTCAGGTCCACGCTAAGTGGGTGTTAGACACCGACGCCTTCAATGAGTGGATGAACGAAGAAGACTACGAAGTGGACGAAAACAAGAAGCCAGTCAGCTTCCGCCAGAGGATCTTCCCCAAGGAGGAGGAGGTAAGTTTACCGTGCTGCGTGTGTTTTGCTGTTCAGAGGTTTTTCTAGCCCTGGATCGATCCGTCCTTGTTGTCATTGTTTTAATCCCAGAAACTTCTTTCCTGTTGGTTTCTAACATAATTATAATCTCTAAGATAAAGCCACAGTAGACATTAACTGTTCATCACTGATAGAAACGTAACGCTGCTGAGATAAGTCTGAGTCTTCTGAAGTGTTGTTGCTGCCAGTTTGTTTTGGTGCTTGTGTCTGTCGTCCTCCGTCTGTCTTTGCGCATCCTTTCCAAACTTTTCCTCACTCTTTGTCTTCACTTGATTTATTTCAGGGTTCCTGTCCATGTTTGGGAAAAAAAAGATTTGAGCAGTTTGAATGAACAAATCCCTCTGCACGACTGAATGTGTACAAGTGATCGGAGGAAGGTTAAACTGAAAAATGACGAGAGAGCTCCCACACACTGCCTCGCTCTGTGCTAACGTATTAGCATAAAGCTTTACGCTAACATATTAGCATAAAGCAACGTTTAAGTCTGTCAGTATGAAGCGAGACGCTGTGCGGGAGACTTTCTCGTTGTCTTTCAACTTTACAGGAAGCCTCAAATATTTAAGAACGTGAGCAACGCGCTGCCAGTGATTATTACAAAAATCGATGCCAAGGTTCTATATGAAATAAATAAATTTAAAAAACGTCTTATAGTTTGGACAGTATGCAGGAACCCTGGTCGTCTCCTCCACCACCACGGCATCCCCCCCTCACCCCCTTCCCCGTTTGTGTCCCTCCCCCCCCTGCTTCCCCTCCTTGTGTGTGCAACCGTTCCATCCTCTCATTCTGCTGCTCTTTCTCTCATCCTCCATCCCTCGCTCCCCGCGCTACATGGGGTTTGTCTGATCAGTCTTCCCGTACACCCGATCGAAAGGAGCGCAAGGCCAACTCCGCCGGCAAGAAGAGGAGGCGCTCGCCCTCGCCGCCCAGCACTCCCGCCGAATCCCGCAAGAAGGGAGGAAAGAAGGGGTGAGGAGGACACTGGTGTTGTTATTTCATATGAATCATGGTGTCATAAAAAGACAGTTCTTGTTTACAGATGTTGCTCAAATGTTAAAGTGCAAATGTTGGAGACGATTTCAATACAGAATATTACAGAAGTTGCTCTTTGGAGATGTCAGACATGATTTGTCCGGCTGCACACTCGACGATTTTGGGTGTGATTAGGTCTCTTCAACCATCGGTCCGATTTGCAACAATACAAAAATTGCAACAGATTATTATTCCAAATAGTCCTCAAGTATATAGCGTCACTACAATTATTTTACAGCTCATGTTTGAGTCGGAGCCTCACGATCTGGAATCATAAATATCAAACATGGGTGAAATTTACCATTCCAGGTCACACTGCCTCCGATAGAATACCCGCAGCAGTCAATGAGAGCGAGCAGACCAGGAAGCGTAGTGATGCATACTCTGACAACTCACTCTTAGCTCGCACTGCAGTTTGTATAGAGCTGCACATAATCCGTCTCCTCAGCCAAGATATTATCTGTATTGGTTTTCTTGTTTTCTGTTTTTCACCTCGAGTTTCTGTGAGATCTCGTGTCTGTGAAACGGTTACTCAGCAGGCGTGTGTGGCCTCCCGGTCCGGCAGAGTCGTCTCGTGTGTGCGTTCAGAGGATTTAGTGTTTAAAATGGAAACTGTCCTCATGTCTGTTTTAAAAGCGCTTAAGATTTGAAAACTGTGTGGAGTGTAGCCAGCTTAACATTGTCAAAATTGTATACTATCTCTGGTATTTTAATGATCAATCATTTGGAAAGTAGCTTAGAAGCTTCAAAAAGTCTACGTCTTCAGTCTTATTCTTTACGATAAGCTGCTGCAAGTGAAAGAGAGACAGCGCCGTCTAACGTGAACGAAAACGTCTGCAACATTTCAGACTGAGTCTTTGCTAATGTGACCGTGCAATCTGGACAGCGTGCAGGGGTTTGTCTGCATTTCTTTGTATACTTAAAAACAATAATTTGGGGGGATAGAAACAGGCAATAAATATTGTAGGGATGCATAGGATCAACATTGGTATCGACCCTTCTGACAGACATCACATCAGCTTATAATGTGGCATGAACCGATGTTGGTAGCCGATATTTATTTGTTGTGCCAAATCAGTTCAAAGCTGGCAACTACTTCATCTAACTACGGAGTCAAACAAACATCAGAAATGGCAATTGGCTAAGTTTTTATTTCAGACATCGGTATCGGCCATGATTGTCCTAATCGATGCATCTTAGGGTAAATATAAATATAATAAATAGTTCAGTGAAATTCTGTCAAAGTTTATATATCTGTAATTGTGACAACAGGAGAAGATGTTGTGACCTTTCTTCACTGACTCTTCTCTCTCTGATCGCTGTCAGGAACCCGGGGCCACACTGGAAGCGACGGGGCCACCGAGGCGAGGAGGAGGACACGGAGGAGGACATGACCAAGGACATGGACGACTCCTCAGCTGGAGCCAGCATGGAGGAGGGCAGCATGTCCAAAAATGGTAGGAGAAGAATAAGGGCTCAGATTGACACTCTCCTCTGATCAAATACTTTTTAATAGTGCGACCCAAGCCAGAGATATTCAAAGATTAGAAATGACTCGCTCATACAGTCGGAGCGTTCTGTGTCCTAACGTGCAGAGCGACACACGGGGTGTGTGTGTGTGTGTGTGTGAAAGTTTAGAGACGCGTTCTAAAAAATGGAGAGATGTGAAATAATTGAATATCCATGGCAGGTCTGAGAGTCTACATCCTGTGTAGTGACACTTGTTTTGTCTGACAAAGACGACCTCAAACTAACGAGAGCACAAGGTCCAGGGTGAGAATCTATCAGGGGTAGGATCCTTAAGAACGTCCTCCTACAGACGCATGTACCATAGTCCATTTGGAAAAAGCAAGAAACAGCCTGAGGTTTAATTTCTTAAAGGGCTTCACATGAAGGGAAATTTTATACTCCTTCTTTAAAGCAAACACAATCCTAACTAAAGAAGCTGTTTTTAGACCAGGTCCACTTTTACAAAACTCACTCTAACTCCTCAGCACTCTCTATTTTAGTGTCCTCTTCTGCAAACCAGAGTGCTGGTTCATGCCTGAATTAAAACCCTCTTTGAGTTGTATTTCCTCGCTCAGCCCTCCACTTCTCTTTTCTCTTCTCTTACAGCGAAGAAAGACGAGAGTACTCCGGTGAAAGGCGGGAATGTGGCTGACCTGGGTATGTGTCTCTGACCAAAGTGACGCGCTGAGTTGTGCATGAATCACTCAACTCAATCGAGACGTATACAGTTTGTGTTTGCATTTGTCATTGAGATCCGTCTTTATGTTTTCCAGATGACATGGAGGATGACTCTGTGTTGTCGGGAGGAAAGGTAAGACATGACTCAGTCTTCCTCTCCCCTCAAGGCTGTAGGTGTGAGTGAGGCAGCTGTCCGTTGTTAAATGTAATTACCGTGGTGCGACATGCGGTCTTCATCATGCTGACCGGTGTGTCTCTGCGCTCCTCTCTGCAGGATGATGAGGAGCAGGGCAAAGCCGAAGTCAACCGCCTGATCGACGCCAGCGAGGACAACGTGACCGAACAGACTCATCACATCATCATCCCCAGCTACGGCGCCTGGTTTGACTACAACTGGTGAGAGTTTAGAGAGGAAGAGGAGCTGGTTACTGGTTTTGCTTTGCAGCGAGTACTTTGACGCCTTTTAACGCAGTAAAAACATTTAATGGTGCTGGGAAATCCGCTGTATAAGACGCACTTTTAATACCAGTCTAATACACCGGTGTGACCAATATACAGGTATAAAAAGCTGACAAACACACCTTCATTACCACCTGACACGATTAAAAATTCATCCCCATTCTTTGTGTTTTGCACGCTGTGCTGGGAAACATAAGGACGCAGACCAAGCGGGCTGATCCATTTTTTAACATCTTGTCTTCCTCATTAGATCCTGATCATGCATTTGAAGAGAACATTGGTATATTAGACTTAAACTTTCTTTATTGTCATTCAAACTTGTACTTTACAGTGCAGATAAGAACGACATTTCGTTGCATTTGACTCGTTAGTGCAGGATAAAAACAGCAGCAAGTATTTACATAGAAAAATAAGGTGCAGATATAAAAAGAAAAGCTATGAGTAAAATTACTATACAGATAAATATATTGCACGTTATATTGTATTTTACAGTCCAGTGATGTGGTCCTGTGTGGGGGTTTGAGGGGGAATGGAGGGATTATTTTTTCGTGTTCAAAGTCTTATGGCCTGTGGGAGAAGCTGTTACAGAACCTGGAAGTTCTGCTTCGGAGGCTGCGGAACCTCTTTCCAGAGTCCAGCAGCGAAAGCAGTCCTTGGTGGGGGTGGGAGGTGTCTCTGCTGATTTTCTGAGCCCTGGTCAGACAGCGGATCTTAGCGATCTCCTGGATGGGAGGAAGTGGAGTCTTAATGATCTTTTCCGCCGTCCTCACCACTCTCTGCAGGGACTTCCAGTCAGAGGCACTGCAGGCTCCGGACCAGACAGAGATGCAGTTTGTTATGATGCTCTCTATAGTGCCTCTGTAAAAGGTGGTGAGAATAGGAGGAGGGAGGTGTGCTCTCATATCGTTCCTGAATAGAGCAGCAGGAAGGTTGCAGCCAGCGTTCTTTTAGAAAGAGGCGTTTTCCTTCTAATCTCAGCAATGACGTGAAAAAAGAGACGATCGGTGGTGGTCTTGATCGGTCTTAAAATTTGGATTCCGCCCAGCCTGACATCGAGACAAGACCGATTAAAAATGCTTTGGATTCTGAGAAGAGACCTTTAAAAAGTTGTGTCGAGATCAAGACCGATTTAGAGTACGACAACACTTTGAATTGGTTCATCTTTCTGCATCTCAAACTTTCTTTCTTTTTTTTTTTTTAGCATCCATGAGATCGAGAGACGAGCTCTGCCCGAGTTCTTCAACGGAAAAAACAAGTCCAAAACTCCAGAGATGTGAGTACACACACACACACACACACACACACACACACACACACACACACACACACACACACACACACACACACACATATGCAGTCAGTATGTTCAGACTCACTTTGCATGTGCAGTTTTTAAGTGTTTGGTTGCAGACCTGCAGTGACATGTTTCTGTGATGCTGACTTCTTCTACAGATTCCTGGCCTACCGTAACTTCATGATTGACACGTATCGACTGAACCCTCAGGAGTACCTCACCTCCACTTCCTGTCGCAGGAACCTGACCGGGGACGTCTGTGCCATCATGAGGTGAGCAAAGTCTCCGGGAGCTTCTTGGAACAAATGATTAAAGTGTATTTGTTTACGAGCACATCGTCGAATTCCTTCCCTGTTCCAGCGTTTGCAGCAGCAGGCGACCATTTTTAATATTTATATTGAGTAAAATGATGTTGCGATAATTATCATTTTATCGCCCAGGCCTAATTGATGCTACGAGGAAGATGTGTGGAATGTAACTGTTAGAAGTTATATTTTGAGCAAAAGTTGATGTTAATTAATAAAAGGGTATGTTGGGGCGCTGGTGGTGCATAAAAAAAAAAAAGTGTATGTTAACGTTAACATCTTTCGTGATGCAAATATGACATCAAGTCGAGCACCTAATCATTTTCCGAGTTGTGCAGGTGTTCATGTGAATTTTACAACTCTGAAACTCTTATTTCAGATTTGCCCGACACCACATGAATGCACCATTAAGAACACATTTATTAAAGACCATGCTGAAAATGTTTCCACTGATCTGGATCATACGGGGCTTGAATCGTAGAGGAAGATCCGAACAGATCACAGATCAACTGTGATCCATTGTTGGTCAAACCAGCCATCGTTTTTCATACATCAGTGTTCTAATCATCTTAATGATCACGGGTCTTTGGACTGTGGGGGAAACATACATGCTGAAATAACCTTGACTAATAATAAGTTCCTGGCGCTAAACACTCCTGATTCTTTTTGGAGTAACTTGTTGGAGAACTAATGTGTCGTTCCCGTCTTTCTCCAGGGTTCATGCGTTCCTGGAGCAGTGGGGTTTGGTGAACTACCAGGTGGACCACGAGAGTCGCCCATTGCCCATGGGCCCCCCACCCACTCCTCATTTCACCGTGCTGGCTGACACACCATCCGGCCTCATGCCCCTGAACCACAGACCCCCACCGGTAAGATTTACTAAACTGGCACTAAAGAGCAAGTGATGGAAGGACGGAGGAAACGTACAGCTGCAGCGCTATGTAGCTGAATGTTCAGCATTGATCAAGTTCTGTGTTTCATCCCTCTAGATCCCCCCTCAACAGCAGATGGCTAACTTCATAGACAAAGGCAAAGACAAGTCCATCGACCTGCAGAACTTCGGGCTTCGCGCGGACCTCTACAGCAAGAAAAACCCCAAGGTCAGTGCACAGCTCATGTTGCATCCTGCACACGAACACCAATGAAATATTTACATTGTGTGACTTCTGTAGGTAAAAACATTACGTTTATTCGAGTACATAAAGAAAGAGGATGACAGGGATGTAGCGATGGATCTGTTGAACATCACTCTCGGAGGATATCAGCCATGTTGACAAATGGCCTTCTGGCAGATAATGTAGCATGCCCTCATGTCAGTAGCTGATGTGAATCCGTTCCGTCGCATCGATGTGATTCCTGCGAGCTTGTCTACCTGACAGCTGAGTCGGAGGAGAAGCAGAAGAAGTCGCCTTTTGGACAAACTCGTGTTGTCCGTCTTATACCGTCTCTGAGAAAGATCGGCGACATGCAGTTTGTAGGACATGACCCAGGGACATGTTAAGGGAGGGATCATCAAATCAAACACTAAATGACAAAATAAACAAGAGAAAACGACTCGTCTGATATTCTTCTGTAGAAATACTTGAGAATAAGAAGAGAAACTCAAAACTATACACAAGTAAAAATGAAAACATTTGAGATTTAAAGGAGATTTAAGGAGGAGATGAGAGTCAGGTTATCGATGGTCTTTCCACTAAAGAACCACGACCTTTAAAATGAGACAAAGTTTCCAAAATGGAAAAGAGGCATTTCCTATAGATCCACTTTTCTTCACTTTCACTGGAAGCTGCCGACCAAAAGTTTAAGAAAATACAAACTGCTGTTAAACTTTCCTTTAATAGTATCACCTCTTTTATCTGACTGTTCATATTTTTACTGTCCTACAGGGGAAACCATCAAACTCCACCAGGGACTGGACCGAGCAGGAGACTCTGCTGCTGCTGGAGGTGAGTGTCAAGAGGACCTGAAAGAGGACTTCTCACATTAGTTCAAATACCTCGTACCGTCTTTTTGGCAAAATCAGTTCTTACGTCTAGTGCGGTAGGCGGTTTAAGTTTGGTCTCTCTACCTTCAGCCAGCTTTCATAAACACTAAAGGAAACCTCCATTTAACCCCTCGACATCATCGCTGTATTGAGACAGAAACGTGCAGCAACAATAAATGACGTCATGGATTTAAGTTGTTAAATATAATTAAACCTTTTTTTGCACCACATCTCATATATTTGTGTACACACACGATGATTGAGCTTGTCATCATCAAAAGGAAAAGACTCGCTTTACTCTGTGAAACATCTTTTACTCTTTCTTAAAACAGCTCAAGGATTTCTGTGAAAATGCAACCAATCTGAGCGTTTCTGTGTTTCTGTGTTCACGCTGGTCGCACTTCTTTGTAATGAATGGCCGCATTCAAATGTCAGTTCCTGCCTGCAAAGCTTTGCACCGCAATGCATGCTGGTATACATTGTTTAACTATTGTTGATTGGCTGTAAGCTTGTTTTAAAAATGCACTTCGGGAAACAACGGGTCCACCTTGCAGGTTATATAATTCTCAACCAAAATACGAAACCCCACAAAACTGACTTTTATACCAGACTGCTTTCAGGATATACGTTCTGGTGGCTTGAAACGACAATCTGAAAAGGACTAAGAAGTGTGCTTTCCCCCCTTTTTGTCCCCTGCTCTCCTTCTTTTAATTATTTCTCTGCCCGTCTCTTTTTATCTATTTTGCTCCATCCTTCGGACCTTCATGTAAAGATTACTTTCCTCTCTTCTGCCCTCCTACTCTTTAATTATCCTTTGATCCACAGTACACATCTCTCCTTTCTCTCCAGCCTCCGCCTTACGACCCTTTTATCTCCTCTCCTTTCTTTCCACTCCTCGGTTGCTTTTCTGATCCTGCACACCTCTGTGAATATTAAACAACGGTAAGATAATGTGTCTTAACAGTCTCCTCTTTCCTCTCTCTCAGGCCCTGGAGATGTTCAAAGATGACTGGAACAAAGTGTCCGAGCACATCGGTTCTCGCACACAGGACGAGTGTATCCTCCACTTCCTGCGGCTGCCCATCGAGGATCCCTACCTGGAGAGCACCGAGGCCTCCCTGGGTCCTCTGGCCTACCAGCCCATACCCTTCAGCCAGTCTGGAAACCCCGTCATGAGCACGGTGGCCTTCCTGGCCTCTGTGGTCGACCCCAGAGTGGCGTCTGCTGCTGCGAGGGCAGCTCTAGGTGAGAACCAGTGAAACTGCAGCATTGCTTATTTAAGAGCTGCAGGAGAGCAAACTCCACATGTGGAAAACAGATGGTACTAAAAGAGCGGCACAGAAACTGAATGTTGTAGAAATCCTCACAGGAAGACAGTTTCAACTTTTTTTTGTCTTGCCATACTGTTAAAACATCCCAGATTTTAAAGTGGTTTAAAAAATGTCAAAGAATAAACATCCTCTCTCCGTCTCCCTGCAGAGGAGTTCTCCGCGTGCGTGAGGAGGTGCCGGCTGAGCTGGTGGAGGCTCATGTGAAGAAGGTGCAGGAGGCGGCCAGGAGCACAGGGAAGGTGGACCCCGCCTTCGGCCTGGAGAGCAGCGGCATCGCTGGCACCGCCCCCGAAGAGCCAGAAAAGACCGGTGAGTGAGCTGGTAATGATCTCTCAATCGAAACAGGAAAACTCATTTTTGAAAATGTAAAAAAAAAATGTAAGACTGAAAGCCTTTCAACCCTGTAGAACTCATCGATGTCCTCTTGGTGTTCTTGTGTGTCATGACTTCAGCGACCACTGGAGGGCAGCAGATAGAAGCAGTTTAGCTTTAGCTGTCAGACAGAGAGAGGCATACGTGAGGCTGAACACCAACTGAGGTTTAGTCATGCTTTAATGATTTCCTTGGGGAAATCTGTTCACTGCATTTGAAACATCCTTTACATGAGGAGCAGTGGGCAGCCAATGGGAGGCCAGCGGGCAGAGCTCGGCGACAACCTGCAGTTTGACGTCAGTGAATGAGAATCGACCACAAATACATGCTTTTGTAGAGCTTACCCAAATAAATCATTAATTTATCATAAACTCTTTTAATATTAATTTTCCAATATTTAGATAATCAGTCCCTTTGTGATGTTTGTGCTTTCAGTATCTCAGAAGATTCTTGAAAATTGTAAAAGTCGTTTTTAATAATTAATATTTTATTGATTTTCATAACAACATTATAATGGCAAACAAATATAAAAACAAACAAACAGATTTAAAGGGAACAACAAAACAGGCAGGAAACATAATAGACAATAAATGGATGACAGAAATTAGACACAACGATGCAGAAAGTATCAACAGTGCATCACCAGAAGGAGGGCATATGACATGTGCTTGCAAACAAACAAAAGTCAATCAACACCCTAGCAGAGATGTGTTGCATTCTCCTGATATAAACTGGCTAAAATTGTCTCATTGCTCCTTAGAAATGTTATTTTTCCAGTTCAGCTTTCCAAGCATATTTTCACAAGCAGCTATTGTCATCATTTCTTCTTGCCACATTTTCAGTGTCGGGAGTTTTTGATTCTTAACAAAATCTAAGAATTAGCCGAGCACATGCTGTTAAGCCAGTTGTTACTACTTTAAATGAGTATTTGCTTAAATAGGGTACTACACCTTTATCCCCCAGGAGACAAAGCTGAGGTGACTTTTTAAAAAGTTGTTTTTAAAAAGTTGCACGTACCACACACCACATCACCTCCTCAACATGTCAGTGCTGCACTTATATAAGTTTTGGTGTCTGTGAACTTTGTCGAGAGTGTTTTGTTGGTGTCCTGCAGCAGTGAGTTTAAATGCTCCTTACTGAGGAGGGACAGTCATGGCATAGCCTCTGTAGATGGGTAACAATATACCCGCTAGGCCATCAGCGCCCCCCAAGGTGTCAGTTTTGGACTGCAAACATACTGAAATATGAAGTCAGGATTTTGTAATCCAATCTTTTTGGCCATTGAACGCTAAGATGTAAATAAACGTAATTCTTTTGGTTTTTAATAAAACCATATATTTCCAGATGTCGTCCTGAGCCTTGGTGAAAACAATAGACTGAATATGAAGATGGACTGAGAGTCCACAAACACACACACACATACTAAAGCATGCTGATAGGTAATTGGTCAACACAGCTTGGACTACAAAACCAGAACACTTTCCATGCTGACCGTCCAGACCTCCCTCAATAGAAAACTGAAAACTACATTTCTACAGTAGAATCTGTAAATAGAGAGATAATACCAGCAGTTTGAAGAGACATACACAAATACTTCTGTGTGTGTGTGTGTGTGTGTGTGTGTGTGTGTGTGTGTGTGTGTATGGGTGTACAGCCGTGGTAACTAGTGGATTAAAACAACAGTGGCAGATGGGGCAAGGGAGTGGGAGGAGGGGGAGCAGGAAACTGGGTCATCTCACTCTATCATATGCTGATCTCTTTCTCTCTTTGCTTTCTTGAAATGATTCTCGCTCCCTTCACTTTTGCTCACTTCTTCCTCTCTCTCTCTTTCTCTCTCACACACTCGCTCACTTACTCTCTCACTCATTCGCTTTCTCTCACTCGCTCGCTCGCTCACTCACTCACTCACTCTCTCTATCTCTCTCTCTCTTTCTTTCACACACTTGCTCACTTACTCTCTCACTTAATCGCTCGCTCTGTCTCACTCGCTCTGTCTCACTCCCTCTCACTCACTCGCACACACTCCCTCTCCCACATAAAGCCAATCATTTGTCACACCTGAATCAGAGCCCTCTGGAGCCACATTTGCCATCAATAAGCTTAAATGTGTTACGGCCGGAAGCACTCGACCGACACACACCCATCACACAAATCAATATTCAAACTCTTAACACACACTCAAGTGCACACGTGACACGGTTTAACACTCAGTCATACACGTGTGTGTGTGTGTGTGTGTGTGTGTGTGTGTGTGTGTGTGTTCATTCGGTTTCACTCTTCACACTCTCTCCCCTCTGGGCCTCTTCACTTAAAATGCTTTTGACCTTAATTTGGCGTCCTCACTTTTTCCCCTCAAACACTTTTTTATGATGAGAATGTCTTTGTGCCTTAAATATCAAACAGGATGGTGTGTCACTGCTGCCTCATGTTGTTACAGTTTGTGTCCCGAGTGTCGGAGTGGTTTTCTGTAATTTCTGCTTATGCGTGCATGAGTGCGATCTCAAACGGTTTCTTGCTTCTGTTCTTTGATTTTGGGCGGCATTAACAATTCATAAGGGACTAAACAATTACAGAAGAGATGTAGGCTGCAGCGTTTCTTCTGTTAGCGTCTTGATCAGTTTAAGTTTGTTACATCATGATCATTTGTTTTAACACACAGAAACCCCCGAGGCGGAGAAGATGGACACAGACTCGGACTCCCAACAGGCCGATAAGGTGAGACCACCTTTTCCCTCTTTTGACATTAATCCAACATGCTGAAGCAAACCTTTAAGGTCACATATTCTCCTCCTTTTCAACCAGTTTAAATACGTCTCAGAGCTCCTCAAAACACGTCAAGCAGGGGCTTTCAGTACACAATGAATGCAGGTTTTCATGCATGTCAGGTTGTAAGCACTGGAAGGTGGTCTCTGCATTTCATACTGATGGATTGGATCCGCCTTTGCAGAGGAAGCAGCCCTCTGTTTAGATGAAAAAAGTTTTTAAAAGTGCATTTTATACACTGAGTTTTACAGTAAATACTCCACAGTGACATCTTTTATTGTATTTATCTGACTCACTAAACGCAGCTGTGCAGGAGGAACAACAAGGCGGAGTGTAAACTCTTCAACAAATTCTTCCCCCAGAAGTTTGTGTTTTGACACTTGGTTTGATGTGTAATAATAGAGAATCTTAGGTCGCACTCACACAAGGCCCGGTTTCTCCAAACGGTGCTGAAGAAGAATAGCCCCCGCCCTACCTGTTCCCCCGCTGGCCTGCACTCACTGCTCCAGGCCCAAACGGATCTGAACACTGTTAGTCTGCACATACGACATCATGCATGTAGGGCTGACGGAGCGACTCTGGGACTTTTTTCTCCAAGTGAGGAAATAGAATATTTACAGGTTGCGTAATTGGGTTGAAATCCATTTACACTTTTTTGAGCTTCAATGTCCGATCATCTCTGAAGTGTACATCATGCAAAACAAACACAATACTCGGTTTTCATTTGGACATTTAAGGTAGTTTGATTGATGATCAACTCATGCACTGAGTTAACATTTCCAGTAGCTGTCACAAAGCTGCCAAAGACAGGTTGAATTTTTCTCGAATGTAACAACGGAGAGCAACACAGAGAACACGACAGCTACAGCTACTTCACTGACTGTGTGTCTCATGTTGAGTCGTTTCAGTGAGATACGACCCTCTATAACCCTGGATGCCTCGATTATGAAAGACGGCAGTCGATTATATCTCATGTCCATGTTGCGTTCCTCTGCTTGTGCTCATGCATGCAGGTTCCAGGGCCAAGGAAGTGTGTGGTGCTTGAGCACTCCCTCTAGTCAAACGTCTTGAGCACGATACAGATTGCCTAGTGCGAGAGCCCCCCTTTATTGACAGGTAACAAGTTAGCATGGAAATATTAGCATTAAAACAAACCAATAATTATCAAATTAAATTGTAATTGTTGCTGAAACGTGACCAGATTTCCTCCCTTGAGTTATGAAGCCTGACTGTAACAAGTAATATAATGACCATCAACAGAAAACAATCCCACCTGAGCTATGATTCTAATGATTTATTTGTTTATGTGCTTTAAATCAATTGTTGTTCCTATGATGAACTGAACCTGACAAGCCGCACTTCTACTTGAAATGAAAAGTAACATTTTTTCTGTTGGAACACCATTCCTCTCTCCGGCTCTGTGTGATTTGTGTTCCTGCTCTCTCTCACTTGTTTCGAGAGTTCCCTCTGGCTGAATGTAATGGGATGTTTTTAAAAGTCTAATTTGTCCCTGCTCTGCCGGGCAGCTTGTTGCCTGATGGCTTCCTCATTAGCATCCCTTAACCGATGTCAAACATAGTGTGTTCCTGTCCTAATGTCGGCTATCGTCCCCAAAATAGTTGAAAGAGTCGTAATCCAATCTATTATTCTATTAGATAGTTAAAGCTTTGAGCAGCTGTTTTTTTAGGGAGTGTTAATGTGTTACACGCTGCTATATTTACCTGTTGATTATTTAAGTCACTTCTGAAATACGTTCATGTATTTTTAAAAGGTTTCTTGCTCATTAAGCTTGCACTGCTCGCACTCGCATCGTCCCGTCTTATTACCGAGAGTAGGACGTGTAACCCGTGACCTTACCCTCGCTCCCCGTGGCTCTGACACTCATTACTCTGTGTGTGTGCATCTTCATCCTTCAGGCGGAGTTGAAGGACGAGGCAGAGAAGCCCAGCGAGTCTGCAGAGAAGAGCAGCGACAAGACGGAGGCCACCGAGAAGGTGAAGAAGGAGGGAGTGGAGACTTCAGAGCGCGAGGACGAGAACGAAGAGGGAGGGGAGGCCAAGGCGGCTCCAGCAGGTAGATCTGACATTCATGAAGAAAAATGTTTCGCTCAGAGTACAAATAGAACACCTCATTAGCAATAAGCTCCTAATTAAGGCCCAGTGTCCACCTGGCATTTTTTTTTTCAGCGTCCTTTTTCCAATTGTTTTCAATGAGAGAGCGTTTGCAGCAGCAGGCGGTCGCACGGAGAAAAAGTGCAGCACCCAGCGTCTTTTTTACGAGCGCTCGACCTTCGTTGTGCGGACTCTCCAGTCACTCCAGTTGAAAATCTTTCAACTTTTCAGAAATGTGCCGTTGACGTCACCGGCCTTCTTACAAATGTATGATACAGATCGTGTCTTGTACTGACATCCTCCCCATGTCTGATCAGGAAATAAGATATCTCATATATATATATAACACTTTAGCAAGCATAAGTGCAAGCATAGGTGGACACGGGGCCTAAGGGGGCAGCTTACTTATATTTTTGTTAAGTAAAATTCTAAATATTTCCTGGATCTAAAACAATCCCTTAGGGCGCCTGATAGCCTAGTGGTAGTGTAGCGCGCCCCATGTACGGAGGCTTTTAGTCCTCATCACAGCGGCCGTGGGTTCAAACCCGACCTCGACCCTTTGCTGCATGTCACCCCCCACTCTCTCCTCCTTACACTTCCTGTCTCTCTTCAGCTGTCCTCTTTCCTTCTGAGCTCCCTCATGATATCAGAGAACTCACCTGAAGAGGTGTACTACTTACTGAAGTTTGCAGATCCAAACTTTGACAATAGATATTTGCTGGTTTTTGTTCTGTTTTCAACACACCTGTCCTTCTAAACTTTCATCAAGAGAGTGCCGAAGGACATTATTTTGTTCATTAAAGTTAAGTCTCTCGCTCTCTGTCCCCGTCAGACAAAGACAAGGAGGAGTCCATGGAGACGTCGTCCTCGGACCAGGAGAAGGAGAAGGAGGAGAAGACGTTGACAGACGAGGGAGAGGAGAAGAGGAAGAAGCTGGAGCACGACATCGGAGAGGGAAACATCGCCACTGCAGCCGCCGCTGCTCTGGCGTCTGCTGCCACCAAGGCCAAGGTGAGACTGCGGAAGAGCTGAGTAAACCACAGCAAACACACGTCATAGTCTGATGTTCTTCAGGCTCACAGGCGATGCCATTTTCTTTACTTTGCCGTAACTCCCTGGTATGATCCTGTTTCAGTTTCATAAAAATATGTTATGAAGAAGGAATAGGTGAAGATTTCCCACATCTTATAGCAGGATTGTCACTCATTTTCTAATTAAACATAATGATTGCTTTGTCTTGAAGATAAGCGTTGCTCAACAGAGTGAAATCCATTCCTTTTTACTCCTGAAAGAGTAAACCACAGCAGATGATATTGTGATGAATCGGATATGAATGATTAATTCGTCTCCTCTTGTCCTCCGTTCGCTCAGCACTTGGCAGCCGTGGAGGAGAGGAAGATCAAGTCCCTGGTGGCCCTGCTGGTGGAGACCCAGATGAAGAAGCTGGAGATCAAGCTGAGGCATTTCGAGGAGCTTGAGACCATCATGGATCGAGAGAAAGAGGCCGTAAGTCAAAATGAGCTTCAGTGCTTTCTGAGTGTTGAAGCTCAGATTAAATATTGGTTAATTTGAGGCACTGACCTTCTACATGCTACATTAGCTCACTTGCCTAAATTATTCCTCTACACACAGGGCCTTTTTTTTCCCCCATTAAAACGGGGCTCCACATCCCACCTCCATGATCAACCCCCGTCAAAGACACAGAACATTTTCATTACTTCATTGAACAGTTGCAACAACAAGCCTAAAACCAACACCCTGTGAATTCCGAAAAAAGTCTATTAACTTGATCAGGATCGAGTGCACCTCTCCATTTAATTACAACATTACCTGCTGATGGGAACACCCATTAAGAGCGCACAGACGCTCCTAGTGCACACAAATATTTGCGAGCCAGCTTGGAGGGTTGCAGGTTTGTTGTGACCCTGTGTCTCTCGACCAAAGTAATGTGCTGCTGTCTGCAGAGAGGCGAGTCTCCCTCATGTAAGTTTGCATCTCCTGAATTGCGCTCCGGCACGCTACCTTTGCCACAGCATTACTGTCTTAATTCACCTGAGAGAGCCCTCTGCTGGATCAAACTGCAAACTACTGATCCAGTAATAGTCTTAATTTGGATTTTGAACTGCTCTTTACACACACACACCGAGGAAATCATGAAAATATTTACATGTATGTTGTGTTCAGGTTGGATGGATTGTGATGTGTGAATAACTTGTAATCATCCTGCTACATGATGAGGTAATGAACAGCATCTCATAAGAAATGTTCACCATGTAAGCGACGCTTCCTCGGCGGCGTATGCCTGGTGTGGGGATTAGTGACTTCTGATGGTCTTATTACACAGCGGCCTCTACCATCAGTGTTTGAATGGATGTGAATGTGTCGGTGTGACATGCGGTGTAAAAGCGCTTTACAAGCTGAAGTCCATTTACCATGTCTATCTGGCATTGATTCTATAACAACCCGTCTTTCTTCTTTGGTTTCTAAATTGAAATAAGAAGCCGATAAATATTTAGACTTCATCTGCCAATGTGAGCTGGTGGGCATCTGCCAAAGAGAGAAGAGAAAACACACACACACACACACACACACACACACACACACACACACACACACACACACACACACAGCAGAGTTACGTCTTTGAGAGAGAGCCGAGAAGCAAATAAAACATCATCTAGAGAAAATCGACCACATAGTCAGGCAAGAAAAACTGTGACCTGCCTCTCCAGGGCAGATGAATCGCCCTCAGCTCTGTGTGTGTGTGTGTGTGTGTGTGGGTGTGGGTGTGTGACCTACCACTGGACGATCCCGGGAGACGCCAGTGAGAGTGTAAAACTGTGTTTGTGCGATGGAGGCATCAGGAGCGTAGCCCAGTTTTCTACAGCTGTAAATAGTGCATGAAAAGAACTCTGGTTTACATAAGCTTTCCAAAGAAGGGAGAGAAATCAGAGCTCTGCTGCTGCCATCAGCTATAAAACAGACTCGCACAGCAGAGAGACACAAGACTGCTCGACGCTTCAGCCTTCACAGGCTCCGCTAATGTGCTCAGCTCTCCTCCCTTTGCATAATGTTTTAACACATTTTAATAATAATATTCTCCTTTTGATTCTTTAAAACGTGTTGAGAAATCTACTAAACTTCATAAAAGATCTTTTTGCACTCAGTCTAAGTTGACTCCGGTCATGCAGATGATTTCAGATTCGAGCATGACCCCGTTAAAAATCGCTGAAAGCAGTTTGCATCTTAACTAGAAGGTTTTTTTTCTGCAGAGACAAGTGCCTGTTTTTAAACGTATTTTATTCTTGTCCAGACGTTCAGAAGCTTAAAATCAGCTGGACTTTATTTTTACGGATGTTGAAATTACATTTTTTGGGGCTTTTTATGCCTTTAATTTAAAAGATAGGACAGTGAATAGAGTCAGACATCACGAGAGAGAGAGAGATATTGGGGGATGAAAAAAAGGAGCAACAGGTCGGATTCAAACCCATACCTGTACTTAATGTGGTTACTCAATGAGCTCATCAATTCACTGTGTGCGGTTACATCTGTGTAGTAGAGCGTGGAGAGCAGGCCCATTAACCTGAGCTGCAGCGCCACCTAGTGGCAAGTGTCCGAATTGCAGTTTGAGCACAACATTTGACCGTTATTGTGGGCCAACATGTAAAAATCAGAATCAGCTTTATTGGCCAGGTATGCTAATATTAAGAAAAGACAAATATTTACATGACTAAATATGAAACAGCGCAGTGGTGAATAGTGCAAAGTAATATGTTATGTGACAGATGGGTTAATTTACATGTGGTAGTATTTACATTAAAAGTGTGCATAGATTATTTTTTTATATATATATAAGTATAAGTTTGGGTAATGGCGTTTTACCAAATAGTGGCACATTCCTCGTTTAAACATCCCTTCAAAGCAGGAAGTTGTGCTGTGTGGAAAAAGCCTTTAATGGGACATTGTCAGTTTTTTCATGTGATCATCGTTCCTGTCGTTTCTTCCGTCTCTCTGCAGTTGGAGCTCCAACGGCAGCAGCTGCTCACCGAGCGTCAGGCCTTCCACATGGAGCAGCTCAAGTACGCTGAGATGAAGGCGCGGCAGCAGATGGAGCAGCAAGCCGCCGCCGCTGCAGCAGCCGCCGCAGCCCAGGCACAGGGACAGACTCCCGGAACTGGACCCCATCCTGGTCCTCCTCCACCAGGCATGCACCCTGGAGGACCTCAGCCACACCACGGAGCACCAGTGCCCCACCACGGAGGACCCCCATCTGGCGGTGCAATGCACACTGGCTTCCCCTCAATGGGTCACCACCCAATGGCACCCCTGCACCCAGGACAGACAGGTGAGAGACACACACACGGACCCTCATATGTAAGAATCTGGTGAATCTGATAAAAGTTGCAGCTCCAGCTGGAATTACATTTTTGAAACATATCAGACTTACATAATACTCACTTAACATTTATATTCTAAAGGTCCGATGGGACCAGGCCAGCCGATTCCAGGGCGTATGATGCCCGGCCCTCCCACTGCTGGCCCCCCTCCTGGGGGCATGCCTCCCATGATGCCCCCACGTCATCCTGGAGCTCCCAACGGCATGTGTGAGTACAAACCTCCTCGTGCCGTACTTTCACCTCATGTTTGTGTTGTGTGTGTGTTTAAATATTTAAACCTGTATATTTGTGTTCATCAGGACCCGCAAACATTAAAATGTGGCAACACTTTTAGAAACGAGTGTTGACGCCACAAACAAGAGAAGAAAACAAACATTTCCAGGAATCAAAATATTAAGCTAACGTTTACTTTGAAAGCAGCTAAACATTTAGCCGCATCACCTTTAAGACATCATCCATTTCTGGTTCATGGGTTTGTTTTTCTCTCCACTACAAACCTTGAAAACGATGTAAAGATGGAACGCCATCCCTTAAACCAGCTGCAAACAAGCAGGCTGCAAAGAACATCAGACAAAAGCTGATTTTATTCTAAAATGCTTCTTTTTAGGGTTTACTGGTTTTTAGTATTAGTTCGTTTGTTTTGCAGACGGGAGACCTCCGTCTATAATACGACTCCCAGTGAAAACTTTTTTAAAATGAACAGAATTAATCCTAACCTTAAAGCAAACAAGTTGAGCTCGTTTTACAAAGCAGCTAATTTATTTTAAGCATTTGAAACGTTTAAAAAAAAAAAGGAAAAAACGTATCACAGCATCTGTGGGTGAACAATGAGTGTGGCTAACATTAGCAGCTAGCACCGCCAGCCTTTCCGTCCTCTTTGCAGGTTAACGTCCACATGTCCTGGATAGTGTCAGGCGGCTGCTCTTACACACTCTCAAATTAGCGTGACGACTTTTAATCTGCAGCCTGCTAAATGTCACCTCCCTACTCGTCATGTTTTGATTATCTCTCATCTAGAGTCAAATCTATTTCACCCTCATGCCACAGTGAAGTCTCTTAGACCCCGTTATGATCTTTCCTTGCTCTTAAACTTATCGTCCGTCCTCTTTCCAGATCCTGGTCCTCCACCTGCACAGCCTGAAGCCGTACCTGCAGTTCCTGTGGGTCCTCCTGCGCCCCCAAGTGCACGGGGGCCTGACAACTAAGACCTAACACACCCAAACACACATGACAAAAGCACACACACACACAGACACACACACACACACACACACACACACACAAAACTATCTCTGAACCCCCCCCCCCCCACCCCCCTCTGTATTGATCGCCTTTGCTACTGGCTCCTTTAACCCTCAACAGCCAAAAGCTTCCATAAACGTCATCACCAACATACACACACACACACACACACTCAGGTTTCAGTGGCAAGGGTTACCCACTTAAAACACACACACACACACACTCACATGCAGACTTCCTCTCAGGGCACTGCGGCAAAGGGTGGTCGAGTAATAAACACTGTTTCCTGCTCTGTTGGGCCAGATGGAGGCTGGAGAGAATGACTCTCTACACACGACAAAAACGAGGAGACAGAAACCGACTGTCTCTCTTTTTTTTTTTCTCTTTTCGATGAGTTTTTAACGACACTGTAACCTCTCCCCCTCCCCTCCCCCTCCCCCTCCCCCTCCCCTTACCCCCCTCCCTTCCCGCCACAAAGAAACACACTCCTATTTCCGTCTGCTGCCCTTTTCTTCAAGCCAAACACTAGGGGGAGCTAGTGAGACAAAAGCAACCGGCAGACATGGAGGGGTGTGTGCTGAGTAACCAGAGCTGTAACACACACACACACACACACACACACACAGAGGCAGGCAGATGATTCAAATAAAGATATGAATACTTCTCTCACACATACACACACACACACACAGAGGGCGCCCGGCCTCTTGTCTTGACGAGTATCTACCTCTCGCTCCTCTTTTTATGAAACACTGTACTTCTGTGTGTGTGTGTGTTTGTTTGTAAATGTGTGTGTGTTCAGGACATAGGGAGGGTTTGGTGGCGTTGCCCTCGTCCGCCTCCTCTGACAATAATTTGTTCCTCCTTTTAAAACAAGACTTTTGCATTAATGGTTATTTTTTTAGTAAAGAAATGAAACATCTTTGGAATCATTCAGTTCTCTAGAAATAATTGTCAACAACTGATTTTTTTTCTTTTATTCATTCAGAGTCGAGCTTCATAAATATCGATGTCGCCTCGTTTCTTTACGCCTCTAAAGTGAACTTCTGTAAGTCGGGGACAAAACAACACATTTCAGGATTTCATTTTCGGCGTTTGGAAAACCTTTCTGACACTTTGTCATTAAATGGTTAATAACAACACGGTTTAGATCAGTTTTCCTGAACAGCTGCGCTCAGCAGTTTGGAGCTAATGTGACACCAACAGGAGTAAATAGTGGATTCTTGATGCTTGTGTCTGTTGACGCCTGTGTTTGGCACCAGCAGCGCCCATTCTCCGCACAACACCAGAACACTTCAGTTTTCTTGGTGAAATATCCTCGATTAAAAGCTCACCGAGCGACTTACGACAGACCTGACCGCCACTATAGTGGGAAGCAGAAGTGCTGAATCTGAGGCGGTGAGCGCTGGCAGCACGACAGCGCTGTAAATGGCAGCAGGCCCGTAATGAGATCATCGTTCTGGACGTTGTTACAGATTTGTGACTCTGAAGTCTCGATGGTTTCCAGCTTGTTTCTTTAGATGCAAAGAAACAAAGATGGCGTCTCGGTAACTGTCACTCGAGACAAAAGCGTGAAAATGACATTTATAAGTTGTGATCTCGAGTCGAACAGAAAATTACTCGTTACCATGGGAACCTGAGTAAAATCAAATCTATGGATGTTTGTCCCTTTTTAGGGCTTCCGTAGAGTGACACGTGTTTGACCTCTGACACATTAATGCAAAAGTCTGAGACGACCCCAGAACGCCAGGCAGCGCCATCAACACACACACACACACACACACACACACAGAAGAGTAAGCTAATCTGAGGCTCACACTGGAGGCTGCGTTCACACACACACACACACACACACACACACAGACTTGGCCAGACCCTGCCACAAGTCACTGGACGACCATGCACAAACACATAAAACACACACGTACATCTTATCTCCTGCTGACCTTCACCCGGCCTTTACAGAGAGGGAGACGCCATGACGCTCTTCCTCAGCGCGCTCGGCTTCTAGATGTTTTGGGAGTTTTTTTAGGTGCTGACACTGTAGCGAATAAACGGCCCAAACTTCAAACACCTCTGCTCACGATATCCGAACGCTTACTGCTGCCTACCTCGCTAACCCCGCCTCTCATACATACACACACACACACACACACACACACACACACACACACACACACACACACACACACACACATTCGATCGTTTAGCCACTCTCCACAGGAAGACAAAGCAATATCCTCATTCCTGTGTATCCTCTCAAACGCACCGCTGTTTAATACGTGATGCAATATGAGAACCTGTCGTGTTGCCGTGAAGTAAAATGTGCGCAAACACGAGGAATGACCACCCATCTATTTATTTACAGAGTTAAAAATGGCGTTTAATCAGTGAATCACGTTTCAACGAGCTGCTTCTTCTTCAAGCTAAAATAATCACGCAACCCGACACCAGTCAGCTCCGCTCAGCTTCTTAAATGTGGTTTTCTTCGTCTTTAGTGATTATTATCGGATTATTTTTGAGTTCTCGGGAAGCTGTTGCAGCAACGCCGTACATTTCAAGACGCCATCTTTGGTTTGAGGAGCTTTTTGAGACGCACCCTTTCGTGATGCCCGTGCATTTTTAAGATCACATTTGAAAAGTGTTCGTCAATTAGCTCGTTCTGACTTCAATGGGCCGCCACACACGGCTCGATTCATGCACGATTAATTTAAGCGTAAGCTAGCCTGAAATGAAAGTCGATTAATTTAACAATAAAAGGATAAATGATCTTAACTCGCTAATTTCCCCAGCACCAGTCGGACGCCGATCATCAAACAAACGTCACTCGTCTTGATGTGACCTATGACCTCTAACGACCCCGCCCTCCCCCCGCCACCTTACGCTAGCACTGTTAGTACCTCTGCTACCTCTTCCTCGCTCATCTGCTAGCTACCTCTTCTAGAAATCTTCCTCTCTGCTACCTCTCTGCGCGCCCCCTTCGCTACCTCTCGTTCCCATTTTCTTTCTTAAAATCTTCTCTTTTCTGTTTTTTTTTTTTTAATTCCCCGCCCACGCGACTGCTGCATCGCCTCGCCCCACCGCCCGCCTCTCCCTGTCGTCCGTCAGAGGAAGAAGAAAACGCATCAGAACACACGTACGGTCATGTGACGCCCGCCCACCCCCTTCCTCCTTTCCCCCATCCAGGCTTGTTATATAACATCACTTAAATATGACTACCCCTCCACCCCCCCAACCCCTACATATGATCTTTAACCTTCTTTGTGTAATGTATTTTTAAGGAGAAGTTTTGTGTAGATGGAATTTTTCTCTGTTCTTTGGAAGTTTGTAGCATTTGTTTCCCTTTTTTTATTTTCTATGGGGTCTGTTGGTACTTGGACCTAGACACTGTCGAATAAACTGTGTTTTGTACGACGTTGATGTCCCGCTTCTTTCTTTTATCTTACATTATTTTTTACACACAATCCTGTTAAAGGAAGAATGTGCGACTTTTTGATCCAGTAGGTGTCGCCCTTGAGCACCAACAGCATGAAACCAAAACAAACTGCTGTTTGGCCACGCCTCCTCCAGAGACACACCTCCAACCCCTCTTTGAGCTCGCACAAAGTAGTCAAGTGCAAGCGGCCAACAAAACTGTCCTCTGCTCGAGCTGCAATCACCTGTGTCCTGCATTGTTATGTTAGCATGCTAATGTTAGCGCTCTTTAGTTAGCTCGTAGCTTCACATTGCATGTAAATTAACACAGAATGAGCGTGATGTAAAAACTCTTACTAACATCCAAATAATCAGTGAGTATGTTCTTCTTCTTCTTCTCTCTAGTTCTTGACTAAAACAGCTTTTATACACAAGGGGAGGAGCCGGCCGTCCCGTCCATGTAAACACGGCTCTGACAACAACACAGCCAGCGGGACTCGAGCTTCTCACTCATTGTAGACAGTCAGGACTCAGAGACATTTACACAGGATAGACTGATTTATGATTTATTTATATTTAACATGTTGCACATTCTTCTCTTAAAGGCTACATTTAATCTCACGATCTGAAGAGAAATGTCCACTGGAAGCAAGACTTCACAGTAATGTTTCACTCTGTCATAGTCTTTCAACTGAAAATATCAAAATAACTTTCATTGAAAAGTCTGAATTATTTTAAAGAAAGTTTACTGAGGTGGAAATGTAACAATAAAATACTTTAATAATGATAATGGCATCTCAGAAAACGTCCTGTGTATCATCAAGAACTTCTTGCTTTTCGATTCCTTTTAGGGCATTTAATAATTTTCCCACTGGGAAGTCAAGAAGATGTCTTATTTTGGTACCATTCCCCATTTCTGATAAATAAATGGGTGCAGAACTGGACCACTTGGTGGAGACGGGGATTAAATGTCATGTTTGGGCCGTTAGATTTCTCTGTAATCTTCAGCCGGTTTTCTCCAAAAACGGCCTCAAACATGGCTCCTCTGCTCGGCCTGCTGGGAGCAGTAAAGGAGAGAAGACGTTCTCAGTGTGCGATTTTTCTGCTGAGCTCTTCATCTGTAGCATAAGTGTGTGTGTGTGTGTGTGTGTGTCTGCGTATACATGACGTCGAAATGTTGAGGATAACAAGAGTCCTGTAGCTGTTTCCAATCCTAATCCCTGCCAACCGGCCGGCTGTGTAATCTGGAGAGAGAGGGGGGATTTCTCCGACCGGCAGATTGACCAACAGGATGTTATCAAGCGGGATGAGGGTCCAGAGAGTGATTACAGGACTCCCCATGTGGGACGGGAGATGAGAGGGGGGGATGGGAAATATTTTTTATTTTAAATTTTTGTCTTTTAAAAAAGCAGCCAATTTGACGTTACCAACGAGCTCTGTGGGAACAATGATGGTGCAGATAAACCCGCCATGAAGCTGACATCCTAAGGCCCCATGTCCTCCTGTGTTGTTTTTGAACTGATTTCAATACGTTGAGAGCGTTTGCAGCAACAGGCCGTCGCCCAGAGTTCAAAGTGCACCGTTTTTTTAAATTGAATTAATCGTGATTTTTTTTCATCCTGGTGCGTCCTGAGGCTAGACCGGTTGAGAATCACTGGATAAGAGCACAAACCTAAAACTTCTACTACAAATATATCGGGTTATTTTGATGTTCGGGGTAATTTTCGGGACACATTGAAGCAGGCAACCATCCAGAGCAGACGGACGAGCTGCTGGCTGCCAGAGAGGCTTTAAACATGGACTCATTTACATTTTGCTGATGCTCCGACTGAGAATATCTGTCAGAAAGAGAAGAAAAAAAGAGTTGAATGTTTTACACAATGACATCTGAAACCTGACACATGATCTCAAACTCTGACCTTTTATCTGGGAAACAGCCCGTCTGTTTGACCGTCTGTCACACGTCTTTAAATTTAGGTGTGAGGTTTCTCCTCCTCTCATGTTTAGATGACATGAACCGG